AGAAGATTGAAATCAGCCAGGAAATGTTTCAAGTGTTAATTTGATAGTTGCCAAAAAAGAACCCCTGAAATCCAGACATTAGAGTAGGAAGGATTGTAAAATATAATAGAAATTTAGAAAGTGGTTTTATATGAATATAAAATATTTTATCTTTCAGTTAGTCCCAGATCTAAATACAGAATATTTTTTAAATTCATTTCAACAACTTTGTATTTAACATCAGATGGACAGAAGATAAGAGTTTACTTTTAGGCTGATATATGTACTTCTGAAAGGAGTCTGAATCTTAACACTAAGACTTGAGCTCATTCTTATAATTCTTTAAAGGTACTTGGACACAGATTCGAAGTTAATATTTTCTGTATAATATCACGAATTATATATTTTAAAAGCATTTCACACAAAAATTAATTAAAAATCTTTTTTCATTTAAAAGTTATTAAAACATTTGATTGACACATCCTTGCACTTTCACAAATTTTAACTTTATTCTTAACCCTCCGGAAAAGTGGCAATCTTTTTGTGTATTAATGAGAAATATTAAAACTTTAATCCAGAAAAACTATTCTATTCAGAGTAGAAATGTTACAAAGCAAAATTCCTTCACAGGTACCGTCAATCCGAATTAAGTCTTGTGTGCAAATCGATCACACTTGTGTTATGTACCCAGTTTTTGTAAACAGGGCAAGAGCTCTGTTATTGTTGATTGTTTACGATTCACTGGGTGCGTTTAATTGTCAAAGTCTGCTCACCACAATTGCACGGACTGAGATGATATTGTGTGTTTGTTTTGCTTTCGAACATGTCTACTCTGATTTTTCTGGATTATAGTATTAATATTTTTCATTTATACGCAACAAGATTGCTATTTTTCCTAAGTATTAAGAGTAAACTTAAATTTTGTGAAAGGGCAAGAATGTGTCAATCAAACCCGCCAAAAATTTCGAAGTTTTAATAACTTTTAAACGAAATAAGATTTTTCATTTATTTTTGTGTGAAATGCTATTAAAATATATAAGTCGTAATATTATACAGAAAAAATTACCTTCAAATCTGTGTCCAAGTACCTTTAAATTTAGAATTGCACTTTTATCAACATCTTATGTATTTCGAGAATGAATAATTTAAAGGTTTAGACATTTGAACTCTTGACAGCTTGAAGTTGATATCATTGTAATGAAGCTTGATAAAGACCCATGAAGACTTCTGTTGTCACTTCTTGTTTGTGTCTTTAATATGATTAGTTTGTACTTGTTTGTAAGTGACAGGAGTGAATGGAACAAGTTTGGCAAAAACCTTCTTTGAGAAGGGATATTTGTGGTGAACTACTGTAAAATCACATATTTTCATGGGGTCAAATTTTCGTGGTTTTATAAAAAATATTCTCTTGTAAGGATTTGATTTCATGGATGAAGAACTGTTTAGTAGTTCTGTATATAAAATTTTGCATTTTGTGAAGGACATGAATTCAATGGTCTAGTAATACCTCAAAAGCAATGAAAATTTAACTTCCAGGAAAATGAGGGATTTCACGTACAGTTCATTTTAGTTAGTTCTATAATCAAGATGATTCTTCCACAAAAGGAACAGTTGTCAACCAAGTGTGAATCTGTACTTGCAAGTTTGAGTTCACTTCTAATACAAAATCAGATTTATTAAGTTGATAGTTGAATGATTTTTTTTTTCGGAACACATCACTGTGTTACATAATTTGGTTAACGAATTGAGCAATGTTGTTTGTTGCCCTGCAAAAGTGCAGAAACACATCTTTAATTTAATGGGTTTTTATGGATCAATTAATTGCCCTTCTTTAAATTTTATTTGATTGAACTAATTCTAATGGGTACATTGAACTTGTTAATGCAGGAGAAGTGAGATACTGCGTTGATAAGTACAGATAAGTTACATGTTGTAGAGAAGATCAAAGTGGTCCAAGAGTTCAGTCACAGCTGAAAGAATTCCAGTGCCGCCAAACATTTACAAACTTCCCTGAGAGTCTACAGAAGTAGCAGTCTAGCTATATCTGTCCTATGGTATTCTCTCTCTTTCTCTCTCTGTTTGGACGATGAATGCTAAATGGTTCATGGAAGATTTCAGAATGATGTACCATACATTTTCTTGCTCAGTAAAAAGGATGTTGGTGTTTTGCTAGATTATTGATTTATGACTTTGAGGATTCTTACTGTTTTTTAACTTTTCATTAACATTTAAAACAGATTGTTTTAATTGATTGAAACAATGATAGACTGACTCAGACATATTGAGTCAGTCTGCAGAACTGTACAATAAATTACACAGCATATTGATATGCAGGGAAATGCTGATTTGAACTAATTATTTAACTCATGTAACTTTGATAATGTTGTGTTTTGAGTCGATCTGACATGGCATAACAAATTACTCCTACACGTTCAGATCAGCGGTTTATCATTAGATCTAGTATTGCCAAGATTTACTGTTCTTGACTGTTTCCATGCCAGACTGATTTGTCTCCCTTGGAGCTCACCATTTTTTGCCCCATTTCACCACACCAAAATCATCACACTCGGCCGGAAACTAGATAGATAATTCTCTTTATCAAAAGAATTTTAAAGAGCTAAAAAGTTGAACATTTGTGAATGCATTTTGAAGGCGGAGCTATAAAAATGATCATTGAAAAACTCATGATTTCAAATCTGACATGCAGAGGGCCGATTTTGTAGATAATTAACTTATTTTAAGATTTGTTTTTGCCACAGTGATGAAAAATTGCTGGTTTATGTGTGAAGATTTAAGAAAGCCATTTTTAATAGATAAAGATGTTCAGAATCTGTAGAATTAATGGAAACATAGTTTTTGAAAATTTGGTCAAGTGCTTGCAATTGTTAGTGGAAGCTCTGAAGAACTCCAGAGTTGTACACATTATCTGTGCATTTAAATGCAATAAAAGAGTTCTCTGCAATATGGTTTTCTAGGTTAATTCTATATAGAGGGATTAATAATTCACATGAAATTTTCATAAACTCGAGCAGGTTCTAAAACAAAGCTCAGGTGTAACCCTAGGGAGCTGGTGTTGTTTTCCTGTAATTATACCGACCTGATGTGAGGTAGCTAATTAAAAGGTCTGCAGTCTTGTCAGTCTGGGATTGATGATAAAACAATAGCAGAGGAGACAGCAGGTCCACCGCATTGTATAGCTCTTGTTTATCAATAATACCTGATGATGAAGCAATATTTGTGTATCATCTTCAGGTGTATACGTGTATTGGTCAGTTTAAACCTAAACCAGATGTGACAGAAAAACATGTGTTTTCCAATTCCAAATCAATGGGAAATAGTATATACCAAACAATTATGGTCACAGCTAGAATAAAACATATAAAGTATTGTATTAATATTGTAAATTTATAATTTTTAATTAAATGATGGTGCACAGTAACTGCATTGATATATTAAAAATAGTTAGCATGCAAACCTATTTTTACCTCTATGAAAATTTATTTGATGCAGACTCAGATATTATACAAAATATAAAACTGCAGATCTGAAAGAAAAATAGGGAAAATATTATGTTACAGTTAAGGCAAAATCTTCGCCACAAAGCATGTCTGTTATTAATAAGTTATATTTGTGGTTAATATATATTTCTTGTTTGCTAATATACTGATGGTTTCTTAATTCTCTCCAGAAAAGCCTTGCAAATATAACTTTTCTACTTTTTTTTTAATTCAATTGTGTTTTTTGTTATTTGTGTGTTTTTTATTGGCCAAATTAGGTAGGTAGGTTTTTAAAATGATTTGGGTGGACGCTTTATAATCCGCGAAAAAATTATAAAATGGCCTTAGCATGCAAACCATTTTATACTCGATAAAATTTGGCAAAGAATGCAGACTCAGATATTATACAAAATTTTAAAATAATTAAACAAAAATGGGGATGTAAAAAAGTTAAATTTACCAGCAAAATACAACCGTAGTAACGGAAGTGATGGGAAGCGAGGGTTGTGGTAATATATACTGATACATAGATCTAGCAGCCATGATGCTTGTATACATGAGGTAAGATCGAGCAACTGTTATATAAAGGTTTTCATTAAATCTGGAATTTTCCATAAATCCCAAGGACTGGAAATGAGGGGACTGATGGATACAGATGATTATGCTGGTTGTCAAGGGGGTGTGTCCCCATACCAAACCAGATTATACAAAATTTTATGTGTTCCTTTTTGGAAATCAACCAATGAGAGGCAAGAATACAAGCAAAATTAAATTATAATGCAAATAAACATAGCCTTAAGTGAAGATATTTCTTTGCATCTGTGGCCATCTGTTGCCAATTTGATTTAATGTTTAACTGATTGCTCCTTACAAGAATTGGTCATGTCTGTTAAGTTAAAACTCTTAAGATATATGTTTCTTTTTTACAAGTCATAAATCAGCTGATTGGAAACTATCCTCCTTTTTTATTATGTAATCTTTATAGGGTCATGTTTAATAGAGTTGTAATATTTCAGCTGTTACACACCTGGCCACACTTCTTACCAAAACATTACAGTATCTTATATGTGGCTTCAATATCAGATGACATTATCTTATGAAAAAATATGAGCTAGAATCTTTAAAACGGGCAAAGAGAAGTGAGTCATTTATAATATAGATTTTGGATTTAAAATTGATAAATGATTATTTTAAAATGAACATGTTGAGCAAGTATTAAAGATGAAAAAATAACCATGCAATAGGATATAAAATTATTATTTTTTATTTAAAAAAAGATTTAGCAGGAAAAAAAAAACAGAAGAAGGGAGGGGGGCTTAACAGGATTTGATCACATGACCAACTAAAAGTTCATTTCCCAGAGTAACGTTTATTTTGTAAATGATGATCGAAAAATAAGTCCACAAGAAGAAAACATTGTAATCATAACTTGGTAAATTTTACTACAGCGTATTAAAATCAACAGAGTACTTTTTCTCTTTGTTTATAATGATACCTCACTGTAAATTATTGTAAGTCATTGTCACGTTGCATTCCTTAACTGTTCTGTACCTGGTTTGAGAGAATCAGCATGGCGGTGATCCTCCTGAACTGCATCACCCTGGGGATGTACCAGCCCTGCAGCGACCTCGAGTGCGCCTCCACACGCTGCAAGATCCTCGAAAAGTTTGACCACTTCATCTTCGCCTTCTTTGCTGCAGAAATGATCGTCAAAATAATCGCCATGGGAGTCTACGGGAAATATACCTATCTGGATGATTCCTGGAACCGCCTAGATTGTTTTATTGTGATAGCTGGGTAAGTGTTCACTCCGCCTGTTGGTCTGTTAGTGTTTCTAGCCCTCTGCTTCTGATTGTTAATAGTCTTTTGTTAATTTTTTTCTTTACTTTTTTTTTGGTTTTGTGTCCTATCAATAATAGATAAGGCATTCCATCACACAATGCTTAGGAAATTCAGTAGATTTATTTCCCTTGAAAACTTTTCATCTGAGTTATCTTCCTTGGATTCTATCTCTTGCATTATATTATGAAGAGTCTATTATAATTATTTCATTTTAATCTTATTTTCATTTGTATCTTTTCCTAAACAACAGTTACTGTATATAGTTATATTAATCAAAATATTAGTCACCTTGTGTTAAATCTGATGTATATTATCACACATTTTCAAGTGAACAAAATAAGATGATGACAACAGCTAGGTTGTTTTAAGGTTGATAATCAGTTTTGATTGGCAAGCTACAGTGAAAGACCCGATATTCTAGGAGAAATTTGACCTGATATCTTATGATTGTGTGAATGTTTGTCCAGTTTTGGGGTTAATAAGAGTACACAGCTGTTGATGAAGCATCAACTTTAACATCAGAGGGTTCTATAAGGTTCTGTATCACACACAGCTGTCATTAAAACTTGATAGAATCAAGGAAATAAATGATACGGATCAATCTCCATCAGACACAAGTCTATAAGGCCAATGACTGTACTACAGTAAGTAAAGGAGAGGGGGGAGGGGTATAGGATTATATTTACCAGAAAGAATACAAGACCATTCTTATTTGGTAATACAGACTGTACCCTCTGTTTTTCATTTTTTAATATGATCTGTTAAAACAGACATTATTACAAAAATCTAGTGGCTAAACTACATAAACATACAGTGTATTTAGAGGTCATCTGAGGATAACTGGTTACCTCACTCAAGGTCATATCCACTTTGGAGAATTCAGCAATTAACTGCTTTGATTTTTGGTTGTTTATAAACTCAGCGAGGGTCCTGGAATGAACGGCTAACAGTTGATAGGGTTTACCTAGACAGTAATCAGTCAGAAGCTTATCTCACAAGACATCAAACCTGCCTGCTCCCTGTCCTGAATCTCAGAGGTTCACCCCACAATCTCAGCTCTTCACAGATAGCAATGGCAATTCTCTAGTTCATTTACATGTTCTTGATTTCTCTTGTGTTCTCAACTTTTATTAAAAACAGACATTTTTGAAATTTTGAACATTATTTCACCCAGTCTGATTTTTATTTATTTATTTTTTTTTTTTTTTTTGGTAAATTATATTTTTAGATAAGATAGGGTTGAATCATTCTTTCTAACCATATGAAAACTTCAATAGAAATTTAAGGAAATGCAAAAGTAATATAATTCTGGATTTTAAATGTTTGATTATGTATTAAAATGGAGTGTTGCCACAGTAACAGAGTTTGTATTGATTGGTAAGAAGGGGTAGACATGGTGTTATATATCACTGCAGTTCTAATCCAACGCAATGTCTTAAAGCTCAGATAGGATTACTCCAATTCTTACTTCATCATCTTAATGACGTTGACCATTTGCAGTAGTGGTTTTATCTCTTTGTCAAGGAAAAGAGCTAGGTTCATTGTAATGATTAAAATGGTCCTGTAGATGTAGCAATTTTATTGACTTAAACATTTTACTTTTCCATTTCAAACATAAAAATGAAACAGAGACTTGGTGGTTTTATTTCTTATTTTTAAAAAGTTCCTTTAAAAGTCCAGGTATTGGAAAACAGGCATTGTGAAATTGCAATGTTCTTGAATTTTTGAGGACACAGGTTTATTTGTATACTTTCAGTGAAGAATCAAAATTTGAGCACTCTTTGATCCTAAAAATATATTTGCGCATTTCAGATCAGAGAATGTACTTAATAGAACATATTGAATGAAAGATGGTGTGGAGGTTTGTTTTTGTAGAAATTTTCAGGATATGGTTAAATTGACACAATTCAAATTAATGTTATGTTAATGTATTGTCTAACCTGAGTAAATTTTGACAGATACTCATTTACCAAAGATCTAAAAAACATTATTATATTGTCATCCAAAACTAAGAAGTTTCAATTTTTCCAAAAATTACAGGGCCAAAAAGGCCCTAAGTGAACCCTGCTCTTTGAATTTAGAACTATAGAAAGTGCCCATTACAAAAGATAGTTATTGATTTGAGTTATCTATATTTTATGCAATAAACTTTTCAAGAAAACTTTGAGGTCAGAAGTTAACAAATTTACACTGAGAACACTTATGGATGCAGTAATATTGTAATACAAGAATTAACCTATTTGCACATGTTAAAAAATTGACATAAATAGTGTAAAGTCATATTTATATACATATTTTCATTTAAGGTCAGACGAGACTTTCCTCAAAATCTGTTTTGTATATCTTCGTAATGTATGAAAAATATTCAAAATTTTAGTAACATTCTGATTTCTAAACCAGTTTCTAAACCTTTTTTAAAAATCCAAACACTTTAACATATGAAATTGAAAAATCATTTTTCTTCCCCAAAGGATTATATTAGTTGTACCATAGTTAGGTGTTATTTCTTTTGTTAAAAGTGTGGATTTTCTGTACATAACCCACACTTTTCTATAACTCCGCCCATCGAGTCAGGACAAAAGAACTATTTATAAAACGATCATGCACGGTTTTTAAATGAAACAATCATACCAAACTTAGGAGAGTAAAAAGGGGTAAAAATTTCAATTGTATACAGCATTTTGTAATAAATAACAGTTAAAAACGGCCATTAATACTTTAACTTTAGTTAAAAGTGAAGAAAAAAAACTTCAGAAATCGCTTGATTTAAAAAAAAAAAAATTAAAGTGTCATGACCAGGGTGACTTTAGCTTAGTAGATTCCAATATTGTTCTTTTGATAACCAACAAAGGAAACACGGTACATACTTGACGTAAAAACAAGTGTACACTACTGTACATAAATAACCTTTTCGATCTAGCCGATCAAATATCTAATTTTCATTAAATTAAAACATAACAAACATTTCAATCAACGTACCACTGTGCACGGCAAAGTTTGTATCAGGTTTACAAAAATATAAGTTAAACCAAGTTCATAATAAATTTAAATTACTAGTATGTAATTTTGACGATTGAAATTTACGGGAAAAAAAATCATATCAAATTAACATATATCATTGAAACCAAACTCGTTATTTTTTCAATTACATAAATCAAACTTTTTAAACGGGCTTACATGTTTAATTTTTATGTCGCTTGCGTGGCCCAGTGGTTTAAGCACCTGCCCTAGAGTCAACAAATAAGAAGTTGAATCCCACTGTGATACGTGGAGACCTATAAAGTATAAACAGAGGTCCCGTGTCGCAGGAGGTGTTGACAGGAAGATCCCTCACTGTTCAATGACCCTGAGTGCCGAGCATAGGACAAAATTTGTAGCAAAATTTGAAAAGTATATTGTATACAAATCACTTACCCTATATTCGATGGACGTGGTCAGAAGGACACGAAGGAGCGTAAAATCATATAAAATCCAAATGCATATTTGAAATCAAACACTTAATGTTTCAATCACGCCAACCAGTCCGACCGATTCCTAAGCTGACTTACATATGAATGATTTTTGAAAACTATGGTACAAGTCATTTACCCCATATCACACTGTTGATTATGTGTAGATACCCGATGGACGTTCATAATGACAGCTCGGGAGCTAATTATGACCACGCCCATCGGGTATCTACACATAACCAACAGTATGATGTGTGGTAACTACTACAAAAACTACTCCTGGTATCTTGCAGAAATGCCTGGTAAGGTACCTCAATTTTTTTGTGAGTAAACATGTTTAAGTAGCAATACTTCAATGACAAACTCTTAGAAAAATTTATCTATTATTAAAGAACGTCTCGTCTGTCCTTAAGACGTGGGACTTCCCTACTTATACAAGTATAAGGACTGATCTTATTATGAGATGTACTTGTGGGATGGTAATTTGACTTAAACATATTTCAAACATGTTTCAAAAGTAGCTGAAAACTCCTTCTGATTTTCATTTTCTCTGAAAATTTAAATTTTGAAAGCAAAAACTGGCTTACTAAATACAGGGGTTAACTGGTTTTCTTTCAAACATTTATTTCAAATCAACAGCATTTGTAAAGAGCTAAAAATAATAGAAATCTGGTTTTAGTCAGGGATCGCTGCTTTGTCTTTGATCATTTGTATTAATTTAATCCCTTTACAGCCATGTATTATACCTAGGACAGTTTGTCAGTTAGGTTTTTTTTAGTGACCTGACTTCTTGGCATAGAATGATGGAAGTGATTCTTTGAAGATAATGGTGGGATTTCATCAATGGTGATAATAGCTTGTCGTCTATTGATGTGGGGATTATTCTAATTGATTTTAAGTGCTTGGGGACTCGTACCTTTGTAATAAAATCACCAGCCCCCACATCCTCATACAAATGATAACTCAGAGAATCAGACCCACTTAACAATAGATGGATGTTTGTCTTGGACTGATTAGGTCTGGCTTTTATTATAGAAAGCTTCATTTTTACATTGACCTTTATTGTTGGTAAAGATGGCCTGCACTATTACTAGTAATAATCTGGTTTAATTACACAGAATGTCACTTCCTTGGTTGTCCTCTGGCAGTGTTTCTGTAGGTGTTCTCTTAATCATTTAGCATTATTTCGAGGTTTGTATGTATCTTAGAGTATGCCTTTTGTTAGTTGAATTAGATGAATCATTACATTGAGGAAAAATTTAAATTACTACTGAATGCAAACTTTCTTTCACATTATTGTCACAAGAGAGGTAATAACTAAGGCTACAGAATGATAGTATACTGTACGAGGTTGAGGATAACAGATTGTAGCATTCAAGACTTCACAAGATTGAGTATAGGTTTTAGACTACAGAATGTAATACATTGCAGAGGATATATTTTATTATTTAAAGCTTCAGAACAATTCCAAGATTGAGGATAGGTTTAAAGGCCAAAAGATGTAAT